GTCTGCTGCCATGGGCTCCTCAGTGCCCAGGTTTCGTCAGAAGAGGTCTCACAGCCAGCCTGAGCTATGTGGACTTTGCCTTCCCAACACCTCAGAAGGAGGGAGAATGGCGGCTACTGAGGGGTGCTGGCCCATTTATGGTCGTTGCATTTCCTGACGTCATGGGCAACCTCCATATCTGATTGGACAAAATGCAATGCGGGAAATCAGAGTTCTATACCAGGCCTTTGTCATCTGTGATTGTATACCCTCGACCTTGACAATCACATCGGAGAATCAAAGAGGGAAATCCAGTACTCTCTAAATTTCTTGGGACGTCAGGTAGAAAATCTTTGTAAGATGCCACAAAGAGCAAAAGGTCCTCTGAGAATAGCAGCTGACAGATGCACATAATAAGAACTTTAAAAAAATATCACTCAGGGTTGCCTGGTTAACCCAGTTGGTTCAGTGTCTGACTCTTGATTTCTACTTGGGTCATGATCTCAGGGTGGTGAAATCTAGCCCCTTGTGGAGCTCCCCATCAGCAGGGTGTCTGCTTGAGATTGTTTCTCTCTCTCTCTCCCTCTGCTGCTCCCTCCTGCATGAGCTCTCTTCTTTTCTCAAATAAATAAATCTTTTTTTTTAAGATTTTATTTTTATTTGACACACAGAGAGAGAAACCACAAGCAGGCAGAGAGGCAGGCAGAGAGAGAGAGAGAGGAGGAAACAGGCTCCCTGCTCAGCAGAGAGCCCGATGTGGGGCTCGATCCCAGGACCCTGAGATCATGACCTGAGCCGAAGGCAGAGGCTTTAACCCACTGAGCCACCCAGGCACCCCTCAAATAAATAAATCTTTTAAAACATATATCACTCAAATCACCTATATTGTGGAACATCAACTTTAATCCCTTGGGAGAGAGGAAACTTCCCAACCAAAGTTATACCACAAGCACTATGACTTGCCACAAATTGGCCATTTCACCTCTAATTCATAATCTGCTTGGTGGCCACTATGGCTTGAGCAGAAACTCTATGACATAGTTATCAGAGTGCTCCCACAATCAAGGGACCCTTCTTACTAACCAGTGTCTTTAGTTCTGATAAGAACTCTCCATGATTTGGGAAAGAAATGGAAAAACCACCATCTCCAAAATCAGAACATATACAGAAATGATTACAGGGACAGTTTCAAGTCCTTAAACAGGTCCTTATCAATATTTGGATCCTAAAAATTCTTTAAATGTTAATATTGATTAATATATATATAAGAGCTATTGTATGAAAAATATGTATTAACCTAATTCTCTAAGAAACCTCCTTAAGGAGAGAAGTTATCAATATAATGGAAAATATTTTAAAATTAAAAACCCAACACTTTGGGAATTTTTGATGACACACACAAACACATTTCTACATGTATGAATGCAAAACAGTTTAAAATTTGAACCAAGGGAATTATAAAACCAAACCAGTTATAGAAATTGAATCAAACAAAGAATTAAAGAAATAGAGGTCATCAATGAGCTATGGTCCCAAATGGTCTGGCTTCCAAGGGTGTGTCTTGTCAAACCTTCAAGGATCAGGTAATTCTACTGCTAATAAAATAGTTCCAGATAATGAAGAAAAAAACCTCCTTCTTATTTCAAGAAAATATAATATGATGGCAAAACCTATTGAAGAATGTATGCTAACCAAATTTCTGAGAAGTCCCACTTCTACTTCAAATATTATCAATAAGTAATAAATTAATAAATAATAATTGTTATTTGTGATAATTTAATAGTTTATTAAATTAATAAATAAACTTATTATTAATAAATTTGGTGTCACATTACAGAAAAGACTTTTTAAATAAAAGAAACAGTTTTATTGCTGTAAATAGTAAATTATAAGCATCAAACTGGAGGAAGCATTATTCATAAAACAAAATACCCCATACGTATATTTTTCAACACTACCCCCACTGTAGAGTCCATTTAAATAAATAACTGAGCATTCAAACACAGAACAGAAATAGCTAAATAAGGAAGCTCATAAAATAGTGTTTTTTTCAAGTTTCCTAGAACTGAAGTAACTAGTTTAACTCAGATTTATCCAATTCTATTGTTTCCTGGTCTACGTTTTTTTTTTAAAAATACTCTTTTGTTTTTTAAAATGCAAAGATTCAGAACCTGCAGTTATGCCTCATGGGATGAGAGGAACACCAAATCAGAGTAGCCCAAGCCCACCTGCCACTGGTTCAGCCAATGAAAGACCTGCAGACCCTAAACCACAGCCATTGGCTTAAAGTGGGAGCAGGTAATAAGTATGAGTATGAACCAGTAAGTGTTCCTGGGTGTTCACCCTTAGAGACTGAGGAAAAAAATAGGTGTGTTATATATTTTTCCTCCCTTGTTTGTTCAGGGCCCTAAATCTCAATCCCTACTATTAGTGGGCTTATTAAGGGAAAAACTGCGGCTCTTTTTAGGCAACTGAATCTAGTAAGTAGAAGGGTTGCCCCACAATATATATTTAAGAAATGCTGTGGGGCCCTTGGGTGGCTCAGTCAGTTAAGTGTCCCACTCTTGATCTCAGTTCAGATCTTGATCTCAAGATTCTGAGTTTAGGCACTGCTTTGGGCTCCACAATGTGCATGGAGCCTACTTAAACAAAGAAAAGAAAAGAAATGCTGAATAAAACTACTCTAGGTGAGCAATTGTTTTTCCCATCTCACGTCTGTATGGGTACTCAGCAGCTAAATCTTTCACCTGCCACCATGTACCTCTCATCTCAGCCTAACACTTACATTGCTCAAGATAGAATCAATGTTAATGAAACTATTATTAACAAATGCAACTGAACAATGCGCTCTTATCCAATCCCAGGTCACCGACAATGTTCATTCTTTCTGTCAGGTCCTTTGAAATAATCCTAATCTTGTGCAAATGCAGCCTAAATTATATGCAAATGCAGAGGTTGCTGAATCTATCATGGATGTACAGTACGTTTCTCAAATTTGCAAATAGCAATGTTGAAAGGAGAGCAAGTGTATTGGGTAACAGAATCAGGATGCAAAGTGTTCTCATCATGAGCAAACTTGAGCACATCAGCAACCATGATGTTCCCCATTCACGTAAGCTAGATTCAAAGGATAAGGGAAATGTCATCAGGAGAAGCCTTAGAGGTACAGAGGCAGGCATACAACAGCTGACTTCAAATATTTGAGAATGAACAGCTACATTTTTTGGGTCTCCAGCATGAAGTCCTAGGATTATTGGATAGAAGCTATAGGAAGGCAGGTTTGGGCATAGTATAAGCAGCCTGTCAGAGCAAGGTGAGTGACTCTGCCAGATAATTACTTCAAGCAAGAGGTAAGGTATTGATGACCACCGTGGTTACTTCAAACTCTCAGATCTTCCGGCTATGCTAAGCCTTGTGACTGTGTTACTTAACTGACATTTAATCGGAGTTAACCCAACTACTGTTTCACTTACTGAAGTTTATGTTATTGAAAACAGCATCCACTTCCTGTAAACCCAGTGATTATTTAAGGATGTTAGCCCTTAGAAGGAATGGTAAGAGAATACTTGAGGTTGCAAATAGGTATAGACAGCATAATCGCTTTTTGTAGGAAAATATATGAATATTAATAGACCAGTCTGGATTGTCATACAATCAAATGTTGATACTTCTAATTGGTGGGATTATAGGTGATTGGTTCTTAAAAATTTTAAGTGATGAAAGAGTTTTTTAAGGGTAGGTATCAGAGCTTGCCGATTCATATGTATTCCTTATTGTATTAGTCAGTTTGAGTTGTCATAACATAATACCATAGACTGGGTGGCTTAAACAATAGAAATTTATTTTCTCATAGTTCTAGAGGATAGCAGTCCCAGAACAAGGTCCTGCAGGATCAGTTTCTGCTGAGAACTCTCATTCTGTCTTGCAGATGGTCACTCCCTTGTGTCCTCACATGGCAGGGAGAGAGATCTCTGGTGCTGCTTCCTCTTCTTTTAAGGTCACTGTTCTATCAGACTAGGGCCCCACCCTTAGGACTTCAATTAACCTTAATTACCTCCTAAATACCCTATCCCCAGATTCAGTCACATTGGGGGTTAGCTCTTTAACATATGAATTTTTTTGGAGGTAGGGGAGAACAATTCAGTCCATAACACTTATGCTCACCATGAATACCAAATACTTGGCTTATTAAGATAGTGAATTTTGGGGGCACCTGGATGGCTTAGTCGTTAAGCATCTACCTTTGGCTCAGGTCATGATCTCAGTGTCCTGGGATGGAGCCCCATATGGGGCTCCCTGCTCAGCAGGGAGCCTGCATCTCTCTCTCCAACTCCCCTGTGCTTGTTTTTCCTCTCTCACTACCTCTCTCTATCATAAATTTTAAGGAGACGAGATGTTCAATGCTGTGGGTCATCGGCAGGTATTAGATATCTGAGTTTCTGCTCTATAGTAATATGTGATGTGCTTAGCACAGTGTGTGCTAGCATATGCCTCCAATGCCCTTCTGCATCTATCACCAGCCTTAGACATCTTCCACTAAATTTAAAAGCACATTTGAGAAAGCAACAGAGCCCAGCTAGAATTCCAGCTCTTATTCACTTTAGATCATCACTTCAGATGTTTTCATTTCTTCATTTCTGAGATAAGGGGGCCAGTCCACATGACCTCTTCTAACTCTAAGGAAAAAGCACCTAGCATCACTTAGTCAGGACCCACTGCACCTGGACAGTGGAGAGCCTATTCCACGTGAATAATCTGCCAAAGTGTCTTTCCTGCAGCCATTCTGTTTGGCTGAAAAGAATACCCTTGGTACTTTCATTCCTTAGAAGACCACTAGGAACGAACCACAGGAGCCTTAACATATTGATTTTATTTGTTATTTTATTGCAACATTAGAAATTAAAATAAACTATGAAAAGCTGCAAACCCATGCTCCTTCATGAGCAATGGAGCAATGGAGACACCCATTGTGGAAGCTGAAAAGTAGCCTATCCTCTAGGGGGTAGAAGGACTTCACACACAAAGGTCATCAATGGTGAGATTATGGACATTTGCCAGCTGGAGTTTATGTACCAATGGAAGTTTAAAAATGAATATAAGGGAACATTGGCTACTCCTGACTTCTTAGCCAGGGAGTATGAGTGTGAAGTATCAGAAGGTGCCTAAAACCTCTACAAGCACATAGGTTTACAAAAAAAAACAAAAAAACAAAAAAACAAAAAAACAAAAAAAAAACAAGCCCAAAACCATGACACTCAAGCATTGCTGAAAACTGCACTTGGGAGGAGATTCCCATCTTACAAAGTTTGAACACACTCTTTCTCCTGCTGGATAGCTGGGGGAAAAAACATTTAAAAAAATCATTAAGAAGATATTTTCCCAAGATTAAGTTCAGTTTCTTCCCCAAAAGCACATTTGCAAGTCACTAAAGTTTGCCATACCTGCTTACAGGTGTGTGTGTGTGTGTGTGTGTGTGTGTGTGTGTGTGTGTGTGTGTGTATACTACCTGAATATTCATTAGAATCTACATCAACTACATGGTTTTTTCCCATTTAAGAGGTAAATCTATGATACTGCCATTTTTCCATATATTATTTTAAGAATGAAGAGAAACTGAAGCATTTTCTTCTGATTTATCTATCCCTATACAATTAGAAAGATATACCATTTCAGGCAATTTTTACTAACTTTGGAACTTTCAAATAATAATAATAATGCTGACATGAAAAATAAGTAAATAATAATATATAATATATATAATAATATAATAATAATAAATAATAAATAAAAATGCTGACATGAAAAAATGTACTCCTTGGTTTGGAGTTTCTCCGGCAGACTGTAAGTCAGGAGGGCAAAATTGATCCCTTGATCCCAAGATACCCAAGAGCTTGATACCCTTGATACCCAAGAGCTAAAGTGGCTCTTTTACCTCATCTTGTCATCAGGTAGAGAAGGCCAAAACCACAAAGTTTACATAGCTCTTTAGGGAGAAGATCACAGACCCAAATTGTTAGGTGTATAAAAATGGCAAATAACCAAAAATTGGACAAAACTAAGATGTTTATAATACTGAGTCCAATATCCCAAGATTGGTTTTAATGTGGCTTTTAGTAATTTTTTCAACAACCAAAAAAACCAGTTTTAAAAAAATTCTCCCATTATTACTAGGGCTTATTTTGGGAGAACCATTCATATAAGCCAGGTAAGAAGCAAATACTTGATATTTTTAGATAATGCATTAAATACATTGGTACTTTAATTATTGCTTACTTTGTGGCAAAATTTACAAGAAGAGTTTATTTACTGAACCTATCAACTTTCACCATTGTTTATGTCAACAAGAAAGCTCCTATGACTTACTTTCCTTTGAGGGAAGAGTATTTTTTTCTTTAGTATTAGTTTTCTTCAGTTTTGATCTGTCGAACTTCTCCACTTCAGACAAATCTGGCTTATCACTCATCTTGACTAATAGAAAGGCTGGAAAAAAAAAAACATTTAACAAATCTATCTGGTAGAACTATTGTCAGACTAAAGAGTAACAGCCAAAATTCTCACATTTAGTATTAATGTGTATTTTACCTGCTGATTTTCTACAGGAAACAAACAGCAGATCTTAGAAATGTTTTTGTTAGAATATTTTTTGTTCCATGTCATTACCCTATTTCTGATAAGTAGTAAATGCCACCGAATCAGGATGTACCAGAAACCAGATGCTCTAGTAACTGGAGTCAATATGTCTCACTCTTAAAATCAGAGCAAAGGTAAAATGAAGGTGATAGAGACACATGAGCAGATAGAGACAGAAGAAAAAATAAGGACTGGGTTTAACCAGCTGATGAATTTGACACAGGAGATAGCACTTTTTGAGCATCTTCACTTTCTAGTCAATTACTGTTGGGGGGGGGGGGGCCTTCTCCTGGGGGATATGAGCAGCAGACCAAAATGCGTGGTTAAAAAGTTGTACTAGTTTCTTTCCATTTTATCTGCCCAAAGACAGTAGATTAAATAGCCACAATAAGAGAGGGAAGGTATTTAATCTGATCATAACTAATTACATGTCTCATACCAGCTCCTTATGGCACTGGTTTGCAAATGCTGTAAGAAGACACAGCTAATTAGGATCAGATCAGCAGAACGGGATAAACAAACAGAGCTGGTTTTTATTTCGCAATATCTTCTCTGCAAAGGGAAAAGTTAGGAGATGAGATGCCCTGTGAGCATTCTGGATTTGTCAAGAAGGGACAATAGGTGACCCCAGAGACGGGAAAACAGTGCTCTCAGGCGCGTGCCTGGCCCCACCCTGGTAGAGGTTAAAAGAGGTCTAGTGCCCAGAGTAGAATGGAGAGACCCACAAGCAGCCAGAAATCCTGATTATGCCTCCCTTCCATCGAGGTCACCCTACGACCCTCCTCTGATGAGGGATCAGAAGCCAATTTCCAGGGTAGGGATACAGGGACTAACAAATATCATAAAAGGCTGGGCACATGGGTATGTTTGTCTGGAGCAGTTTGCTTACATTTTAAAATAACCATCATCTTTGCTGGGCGCACAGCCCACCTTTTGGCCACAGGAAGGGAGAGCGGGAAGTGCCAGCTCCAGAGGGCCCAAACCCGGCAGCACCCAAACTCCTCGTCCACTCAGCCTCGGGCATGCAGCCACCGCGGACAGGCCACTCTGAGGGGATCATTCTAAGGACCCACCCGTGGAGGATTCGGCAACGCACAGAAGGCGGCGCCGCAGACAAAGGCGCGGACTCTCCAGGAGGTGCAGTTAGAAACCGCCAGTCCCAACCCCGCCCCACCAGTTCCTGAGAGACCGATCCACTCCGCCCCGCAGCCGCTGCGCCCTCCTGTCCCCATAATTTTCTGGCTCCACCGGGACCGCAGGTCCTCACCTGATGACTTGAAGACGGTTGAAATGACAACGGCTGGACCAACGCCGCTCCACACACTGGACGAGGTTAAACCTTCCCGCGTGGCACCCTGCAGTTATAAATCGCGAAGCAGGCCCCGCCCCGGACCCCGCCCCAACCATCTCTGATTGGCTGAAAGATCCCAGGCCTTCCTTTTCACGGTCCCCCACTCACCCGCCAACCCCGGGGCTTTTGTCTTGTAGGCTGGAGTCCATTGTCTTCCCTCTTCTCAGGACCTCTCCCCTGCTTCAGTGTCTTGATGACATCATACCGGAGCAACCTCCCCAGACACTGCCCAAGCCTTCTCTGATTCGCGGAGGGATCGTCTGCCTGCCTCCCCCTTCTCGCCCACTATTTTCTTGCTAAGGATCCACTTCCTCCTTCCCAAGTTCACTCACTCTTCCAGTATAATTGGAGCCTGAATATAAACAAAGACTTCTTTCTTGCCCAGTTATCTTCCAACATCTGGAACTGGCTTTTTATAGCCATAGCACCTAAGTACACCAGGATAACCAAACAATGGTTTGCCAGTAATGCTCAGTGGCATCTGTTCTAATCCTTAGCCATTGACCCTCCTCCATGACCTTGACCCTAGGTCATGGAGGAGGGGAGCTCCTTGAGAGGGTGGGCAGTTCAGAGTCATTCACCCCCACAGCAGAACATTTCTGTAATAGTGGTACTGTCCTATGTAAAAGTCACACTTTCAATTTTCTCAGACACTGAACATGGTAGTTGTCAGTAGGGTAATCACGGGAGAATCTACTGGAGGATCATCTTAATCTCCCCAATCCTTAGCTCTTTGCTTGGCCCACAGGAGACTACCTAAGTACCTGTAGTCTATATATGGAGGTAATAACGTCCATGATAGAGAAGAAATTTTGGACAGCAGCACCACCCAGTGTCCATGTTGGGCGAGGAAAGTGAGGATTCAATAGCTACTTGAAAAGACCAAAAGTTCCAGGTCACTTTCTGGATATTCACCCAGAACCTTCGAACATTAAGGTAAGATGAAGATAGGATGATGTCTTTAGCTTGTATCCCATATTTGCCATATGGCTCGTGTATCGTGGTAAAGATACTCTACATACATCAGCACCCAGTCTCTTCACAAGGATTTCTCAGACCCTCCCCACCTTTCTCTATTTATTCCCTTTTCTATGCTCTTGTAGCATTTTGTGTTAATTCAAGAATTTTGTTTGTCGGAGAAACTTTTAAAGCAGAAAGCCACTCTCATTCAACACACAATATTTATTAAATATCTATAGTGGCCCAGGCATTAAATATAATAAACACCAGTGTTTCCACAACTCAGATTTGAATATTGTTAACATTTGATTATATTTACTCATTTTTAGAGAATAAAAACAGTAAGGAAAAATTTAGGTTCCCTTAACCCTCACCCCATGTCCATTCACCTTCCACTTCCCCAGGGGTTGTCCTATCCTGAATGTGTACTGTAGTTCCTAGACCATGTTTTTGTATCATCACAGATTTATATGATCTCTGTTCCTAGGAATAATATGGAACACTGTATGGACCAGTGTTTTAGGTATAAGAGAGAACTCCCACATCACTTGGGGTAAACAGGAAGTCCCAGACACACACACACACCCTCCTGTAGCCCAGACTTCAAGATTTATCTTGAATCTAACTGCGTTGAATCCACCAGAACTCATCTAATAATGGTGTTTAACCCCATTTGTGCTAGTCACCAAAAGAACTCCAAGATCCCCACAACACCCCTCAACTCCTGCATATTAACCCCCATAAGGCTGTGACCTCATTTCTCCTTTAGTTCACTTCTCACACCCCTCTCCTACTCCTAAAACACAATGCACCCTCAGTAATTCCTCTATAACCCCAACCTTTTCTCTGAATGTGCCCATCATTTTTTTCCCCTGACAGAAATCAGTCTTTTTCCTGGGGACTCTGTGTCCCCTGAAGCCCACACAAGAGGAGCAGATGACTTTTCTCTCCCACCATCATTGTACTGCAGATCCTGAAGGTCAAGTCTTCCTTGGTCTTCCTAGCTTGTCATTGCTGCCGTTAGACCATTCCTCTCCCACATCTCTGAAAACCTCTAGTTTTTGACAGCCTGTCACCAACTAGCCTTCATTTTTGTTGTCATTTACCAAACTTCATCCTCACCCTGCAATTTCTCAAAGGTTTTAGCTCCTGGAGCACAGTCACTCCCAATGGTAGTAGTCCTGTCTTAATTCCCAGTGAGCTCAAGAATGATCATTCTGACACACTGACTCCTTTAGTTCCTTGAACATTTCTCCTTTGTGACATTGTATATGGCCCCACCTCATATACTCACTCACATGGCTATACGCTAGGCCTTGCACAGCAATTTTAGCAACCCCTCTGTAATCTCAATTTCAAACATCCTTTTCTATGACTATCACCTACTCTTTTTCCAGCTCACTCCCTTTGGTATAGAGACCCCACTATCCTTCAACCTCACCAGAATCTCCAGTCCATTGGTCCAACTATATTTTCACCATCTCTTACTCCCTTATTGTCTTTTCTCCCATCTTCCCTAGATCAAATGTCATGCCCAGTCCTTATAGTCCCTCAATTACATAGCTAAACCTAGCTGGAGGAAAATACACAGCCACATGACTAATTGCAGTTTAAATTCATGACCACAAAGGTCAATCAGGCCCTTACTGCTACCAAGCAATCACTCTATAAATATCCTGTCCCTTACTTCCAACACCACCTCAGCATCCCAACTCTTTATATGCTTATTATTTCACTAGAAAATTTAAACCATAATTCCATAGACTCCTATCACCATATTGCTTCACTCACCAACACCTGCATCTGTATATATATGACCCTCCTGTTGATACCATATATGATTGTTTTGGGCTGAATTATATCCCCCAAAATCCATATATTAAAATTGTAAACTCCAGTACCTCAGAATGTGACTTTACCTTTTTAAAGAAGTAATTAAGGTGAAATGGGCCCATATTGGTAGACCCTAATCCAGTAAGACTGGTATCTCTCTAAGAGATTAGGGCACAGATAACACAGACTGAAAACACAGGGACAAGTCCTGATAGCCAAGGAGAGAGGTCACACCAGAAACCAAACTGCAGATATCTTGATCTCAGACCTCTAGCCTCTGTAATTGTGAGAAAATTAATTCTTTTTGTTTAGGGGCACCTGGGTGGCATGGTTGATTGAGTGGCTGATTCTTGGTTTTGGCTCAGTTCATGATCTCAGGGTCCTTGGATCAAGCCCCACATCAGGCCTCATGCCCAGCACAGAGTCTGCTTGAGATTCTTTCTCGCTCTCATCCTGCCCCTCCTCCCTGCTCTCTCTCCCTCTCTCTAAAATAAATAAATGCAATCTTTAAAAAGTTAATATATGTTGTTTAAACCACCCAGTCTGTGGTCCTTTGTTTTGCCAGCCCTAGCAAACTAATATAATATTTCCAGATACTCCTCTAAAGCCAGACCCTCTCTTTTCCCACTAGATTTCTTTCTCTCATACCAATTCAACAATACCACTATCATCTTTCTCCCTTTTATCTCCAACATCACCAATGTTGTGCTCTATATTAGGTCATTTCTATCAGGATACAATCAAGCTATTATATCTTATTTTATCTTATTATATTTATTTATTATATAAATATATTTATATTATATATAAATTATATAAATATAATATAAAGTATATATATTATATTTATCTTATTATATTGTATCTTCACATATATACTTTTTATATATGCATTATTTTACATATATGTTCTCTTGACTCCACTCCCCCACCTGCTATCACCCCATTTCTTTTCTCCCTTTTGATGCAAATCTTTTTTCAGATATACATGATATATATTTCCAAGTGCAATATTTGAAGGCATCATTTGAACTAATGTTCCTGGTCTAAGACTGAATTCCTCATTCTACCTACATCAACCTGGTATCAAGAGCAAGCCCCAGATGACCATCCTTTCCTAGACCACTACCCTCTCTGCCTACTCTCCACCTCACTCACTCTGTCCCAGCTATTAACTCTCTACTGTTCCTCCAACAAGCCACTTTCACTGTTGCCTAGGGCCTTTTTAATATCTGTTCCATCTGTCAGGAATGTTCTTCCCCCAGATATCCACTTGGACTACTCCATCATTCCTTTGTAATTTTATCTACTTACTGTTACAATTTTTCACCTGCTATTCTCATTTGAACACATTCCAATCAGGGGTCTGCCTCCACCACTCTACTGAAATTTATCTTGTAGAGGTTGTGAATAATGCCTACATTGTTCAACCGAATGTTCAGTTCTTAGTCCTTATCTTACTTGCCTTATCAGCAGCATTTAGCACAGTGGATAAGACCTTCCTCCTTGGTTCAAGGTCTTCACTTGGCTTCCAGGACCTCACACTCTCCTATTCTCTAATCTCACTGGCTGTTCCTTCTCAGTCTCCTTTACCGGCTTCCTCTCTCCTCCAAGACCTCTTAAAATGGGAGTGCCTGCAGGCAATGTCCCAAATTCTCTTCTTTTTTTTTCCTTATTTATTAATTCATTTATTTTTATTGAGCTATAGTTGACATTTTAAAATGTATTAGTTTTAGGTGTACAATATAATGATTTGATATATGTATATACTGTGGAGTGATTACCACAATAAGTTTAGTTAACATCCATCACAACACATAGTTACACATTTTTTTCCTTGTGTTGAGAACTTTCATGATTTATTCTCTTAGCAACTTTCAAATACATATACAATATTATTAACTGTAGCCACCGTGGTGTATACTACATCCCCAGAACTTATCTTATTTTTAATTTAAATTCAATTAATTAACATATAATGTATTATTTGTTTCAGAGGTACAGGTCTGTGATTCATCAGTCTTATATAATACCCAGTGCTCATTACAACACATACCTTCCCCAATGTCCTTCACCCAGTTATCCCATCCTCCCACCCCATTCCCCTACAGCAACCCTCAGTTCGTTTCCTAAGATTAAGAGTCTCTTATGGTTTGTCTCCCTCTCTGGTTTTGTCT